GCAGGTACACCAGTATTCACACTCAGACCTGAGTTTAGTCATTTTCCGATACGAGATTGGGGACGGGTTCTATAAACAAACAAAAAACAAATGTGTGCATATAATTTAGATGTAGAGTCAAGGTTATTATCGGCATTTTGGTTTATGTTACGCGTTGATTTTTTTAGTCATGTTATACAAAATAACATTGGAAAAAGGCCATTCATCTCTCGATGTTTTCATTTTGCTGATCGGATGAGCATAGTTTTTATACAAGTTTTGTAAATGTTCAGGTTTAATAGACTAGGCGGGGAAGTTGCTGCAAACATTATAAAAACGGTTTTTTGCTTAATAATGGACCTTTAAAATACTGAGTTATTGTAAGAGTGTTGACCATACTTTTCGTGACCATTCTGTAGTGAGAAGTGAATCCGGCTTAGTATTAAATAATGGTGCCGCTTTTGGGGGAATTGTTTTCTTGAGAGACAAAGGTACTAGATTAGGAAATTTTTCAATTTATGCATTAAATGAGTGCGTTATTTACAATGATACTGTGTACTCAGTTACTGTCAATATTTTATGTGAATAAAATCCAGACTTTGGTACTTGCTGGGGGGATAAGTCCTTGTCCAGTAATTGACGAAACCCGGTGAATACTGCTCGAAGGCCATTTTTCTGTTTTACAAAAAGTGATTCAATATGAGATTTGAGCAAAACCCATACAAGGCTTACAATAATTAAAGGTGTGACTGCACAAAACTTTGATACATTTGACGAGTGTTCGAGAGGCAGATATTTTTTAAGTTAGTACATGACTCCTATGTATATGGACATTTTTATTTTCCATGGCAGAGATATGATGGGGACCAGTTTAGTTTATATCTTTATAACTCCTAAAAATCGAGGCTTCTGTTTTTCTCTCAAATTGGTGACACCAGAACATTGCCACATCACGATAATTTAAGTTTCTTTGGCGAGAGACGATCATATAATTTGTTTTTCTAAGGTTGAGAGCTAAATAAAACCATTTCTATTATCTACCCACTTAACTAAAGCATCGCTAAGAGTAATCTCACCAACTTTTCGTTGGTCATCAAATTGAAATGTTCAGCTTTAAACACATGTCAAAATGTTACATGATATAATGACGTCTAGAGTATTTACTGAAACATTATTCATATTAAATATAAAAAATTATATCATGTTTACTAAAAATTTAGAAACAATTTTCAATAGGCTTGGAAAAGGATTTACAAACTTTTGGTTTAATAAAATGCGATCAACTACACGAGTGATGAAATTTCATATTCACACTAAACCTTATCACTTATATTACTGCCTAATGATATAGCATTTTGTTTAATTTCACCTCGCATTGGCATATTGGTATAAATTTGAGGAAGCGATCAAATATATTACTTTAGCAAATTGGGCAAGAGCTAATAATAAAACCATTTGTCACTTACCACTCAGGTAAGCTGTAGGCAAAATTCTTGGGATAATATCAACGAAAAGAAAAGAAACGTCGACATTTTCTTTGTAGGTTTACAACCTACCAGGACGCGCGCCGAGTTGGACTTCGTCGACGGTCCTGTTATGTATATGAACAGATATTTACGAGTATCACCCGTTAACATTTTCTATGTTGTATGTAAATCTAAGAATGTGAGTTGTTAACATTGTCATTACTTATATTAATGTGAGTTCATAATTTAACCAAAACACATAATCATGGGTATATAGAGTGAACCGCTGCCAGTGTCTCTCTTTTCCAAACAAAGGAAATGATATTAAATTGAGGAAACGTCGCAAATGCAAATTGATCCGAGAATGAAAATCGGTCGCTCGCTTTTCCCATTCATTCCGGCCTTACGAATGTAATAGCTCTTGGAAAAGAGAGGACACTGGCAGCGGTTTTCACTCTACCCATGATTATGGGTTTGGTTAAATATTCATCTATTTTTGATTATATTGTCAGGATTAATTTACACAGTCGAAATTCATGAATATCCTTTAAGGAGGTAATTTCAACGATTTCGAAATTTAACCTTCAAAAACATTTCTTGTGTTTAGCTAGGTAGGTTATCTGTCGACAAAAAAAAACTGACTATGGCACTTTTTGCTCATTCAGTTGGCATTTAATTCATATATAATGCCATTTAAATATCGTGGGAAACGCAGAATTATTCGAATCACTAATGAGCAAAATTCTCACCTTTTCGACGTGCAAACTTTGAGCGGACGTTGCGTGCACATACAATAGTGAATCACCGTAACTTTTTGCATGTGGTATATAATATATAGTTTGACAAGCACGCACAGTTTCAGAGATTTCAAAAGAACTTGGATCACACGGGACTCCCAATTATCTTTAAAACCTGTGGTTCGAAATGACTGTATCTTTTATACTTTTGAATCTACGGACACTTAAATGTAGGCTACAATTGACTGCCAAAGCGTCTATACATATATACATCTATCTATCTATCTATATACTTCACGACAATCTGTTGTAAAACAGCAAACAGGGGTTCCAGAAAACCCACTTCCCGATACTCCTGAAATATGAAACTTTTTTTACAGTCGATTTGGACAAGGTCTAGACGCCCTGCAAAGTTTCAGATCTCTAACTCAATTTTAACATGGTTTTTAAGGCACCTGAATATGGCGATTTTGGGTTTTTTTACCTAATTTCGTATAACATGCTGGCGATGGCGCGTATTTTGCGCAAATTTCTTAAAAACTTCCACATAACTATTTCCTATTCCTGTCATCTTTAACATTGAATTAGAATGTTTTGAACTTAAATATACCTGCTGAACTACTTTCGATGAGTCTTAATGCCTGGAAAACAATAAAGGGGATATAATAGTATAGGGGGTAAATAGTTATGTGAATAAGGGCAACGGTTATGCTTGCCAGCATTGTGACAATAACATTACTTAATATAATTTAATAAAGCAAAATAATGGCAACACTGCACGGCAATGCCAATAACTTTAACACAATTTTCTGCGAAAGCCGTAAAACTAAAAGATATAAGATCCAATCGCAACTTTTTTTGCTGGGTCGAATACTTTTGTAGCTCCCAGAAAACCTTACCGCCTGCTGGGCTTGCTAGAGGTGATAGATTTTCAACAGCACGTTTGGCGTCGCGCGTCACATCAAGTTTACCTTTCGCACGCTGCATTGAGCCTAGTAGTCATGACAACGACATTACTTCGCAAAGTTTAAAAGCTGTGATATTTTATTTAGCCCAAAATCAAACTTTTTGGTTTAATTCAAAATCTAAGTTGTCCCAAATTGTGCTCCTGGGGAGCCAACTTTAAATTTACGAGACCGACATTTTGTTGAAAACCGGAAGGTTCTATTTATTTTACTTTTGGAGATATACCCCAGCCGGTAGGGTTTCCTGTAGTAGAGGCTCTTACGGGCAAAAAGACGTGTTTTCTGCTACGAGTTTACAGACCTAACCGCTAATTGGACACAATAGTATGATGTCTAAGAATCGATAATATGTTAAGAAGTATAAATTTGGCCTTATTAGTCACGTGCTATACCAATGCGCGTTTTAAACTTTGACAGTCTATTACTCTAAGGCAAATAAAGTAATTATATTCATATTTTGTCAGCAATAAGATTACATTGTTTTCTATTTGGTGTGAAAATATGAGCTAAAACGGACATAATCACGCTGAGTTATAGCTGTTTGAAATTTATGATGAACGCGCGGATGCCAATTGATAACAACTAAATACTTTTGCGCGTAGTGCGCGTCGAAAATTTGGCAAAAACGCTTGCGGAGTGACAATATTCAAACTTCGATAAAGTATATGAAGTGGGTACTTCTCGGAAAGGAAAAATTTAGGCAAACACGATGTGACTATTTTTGGGTTGATTTAATACAACTGCAAAAAATTATTCAAACTTCAAGCAAAAAAGTCAAAATTTTTACCACTTTTTTGGATTTTTACCCCCAAAAAATAGAGGGATTTTTTCAAATTTTTAAACCATCTTATGCGGCTGTGTTTTAGCTATCTCCATGCAAGTTTTGCCGACATGCCAACAAAATTAACTTGTTCAAAATATCAAAAAACATGGTTTTTTAGCCTATTTTTTGCCCAAAAATCGGTTTTTTGCGATGTTACCCCCAAAAAGTCAGTCCAATCATCTTAAAACCACTTTTAATCGATTCTACGGTCAAAAATACGTCTAGTAAGGTGTATCTGGGGTCCCTAGCGTATCGAGCAGACAATGCCCGTAAGAGCCTCTACTACTGGGCCGAACCTACGCGCGTTTAAAATAATTTGCGCTTTCATTTTAAAACGTTCATTTTGACAAACCATAACTCTCCACCAATCAAGTCAAATTTCAATTTTAAAATATCAAAAGAAAGTAGAGAATTTCGCCAACATGAAAGGGGACTCCTGATCCTGGATGGGCAGGTAAAAACGCGATCTTCAGCCTCAAAATCTACTTTTAAAACTTCATACATTTTCCGCCGAAATTATAATTCTTATATCGCAAAACATCCCCCTACCTCCCTGCACCTCCCCCCCCCTTCTCACCCCCCCCCCCCCTTCCTGCTGCTTTCTTCTGCAGCTGAACTATAAACTCTCAGCTCTATCACACACCCAGAAAACCTTACCGCCTGCTGGGCTTGCTAGAGGTGATAGATTTTCAACAGCACGTTTGGCGTCGCGCGTCACATCAAGTTTACCTTTCGCACGCTGCATTGAGCCTAGTAGTCATGACAACGACATTACTTCGCAAAGTTTAAAAGCTGTGATATTTTATTTAGCCCAAAATCAAACTTTTTGGTTTAATTCAAAATCTAAGTTGTCCCAAATTGTGCTCCTGGGGAGCCAACTTTAAATTTACGACGCGAGACGGACATTTTGTTGAAAACCGGAAGGTTCTATCTATTTTACTTTTAGTTTTGGAGATATACCCCAGCCGGTAGGGTTTCCTGGGTAGTCATAACAATGCATAACAATTTAACTTGGTCCAAATAAAAAAGCTTTGTTCACGTTCTTAGTCCTGACACAAAAGTCATGGATCGGGGAAAAAAATGTATATTACAATAAATATAATAAGTATTCTGAAAAAAACATACAATGAATATCAATAATTACTGAATCGCAGTCTCTTTCTTTTATTTTTTATTGAAACATTGAAAGTTGCCTAAAATATTAAAATGTTAAATATCAAAAGTTTAATTATAGGTTATAAATTTATAGATTCGTCCGGGTTTTTAAGTTGTTATTTTTTCTATCACATCCCGATAAAACACCATGTTAATATATTGTTTTGTACCGTAGAACCATTCCAGTCCACAACAACAAACAAGTTTAGATTCTCATATCAACAGCAAACAGGAGAACGACGAGGAAAATTAAGCTGACTTTCAGGGCTGCTGCATCAGAGTAGTTCTGGTTGTCTCCCTGTTCACTTTCATTTTCTTCTTCACTTGTATCTTCTTCTGAAGGGGAAATTTAATTTAGTAAAAGATACCTTCATTCTGGAAAGATATCGGCATGATCTATTTTATATGGCTTTGACTAATTATTGCAAGACCACGAAAAGACACAAATCTCATATTCATATTTAGGAACTATAAACAAGTAATTACAAATACAACTATTCGATTATCCTAGTTCGCTTGACTCCCGTACGTTAAACTGTTCATTTGTCTTTCGATGTTAACAAATTTAATTAAATGGGTAAGATAAAATCGAGTGCAACCGTCAAAATACTGGCACTGAAAAATTATTCATCATCCTGATGGACGATTCTTCTATTCATAGGTGGAGCCTGATATAATAAAGTTTTTAGGACACAGTAGAAAATAGGTATCAGATTCAGAGTGTGCGACAAAGTTGACCAAATCTTGCCTTATAACCGTCGAACTCGAATCCCTGCTCTTTAACCAATGATGTTTTATGATTGTTAAATTGATCTAATTAGTAACCAGAACCTACTACATTTCAGAATAAGGAATACTATACAGTTAACTATAGGCAGCTACTACCTGGGGACCTCAGGCTATCATTTTCATAAACGAATAGAGATTAGGCGGAATGACAGGCTGAGCGCGGCCCAGTAAAGGCAGCTATAGTTAACAGATTCAAAAAAATGCAAACTTGTAGTTGTAACATTATAGTGCATAACAACAATAAAGTTTCTGTGTTGAGAACTTCTGAACATGCTTGGTTAATATTTTTGTATATGTACAAATAATCTCAACTTCAAATGAACATGTCCATTAATAAAAATAGAAAGTCCTGGCTACCTGGCAGTTTTTCACGAAACTACCGAAAATCCCCCCTCCACCCTTCGATGAACATCATAACTTATTTTGTATATCTACTCGACTGAAAAATTGTCTTTGGCGAGTATGATCCGTGTTTCCAGTGTCAGATGTAACGATGTCATTATGTCATAGTATTATGTTGCAATCTGTAAATTATATAATTAATAATAACCAAGAAACACGTTCTAGCATTGTACAGGAACTGAATGATTGAACTTTCTAAACTAAATTCACTGGATCCTATGATAAGTTTAATTTTGTTTTAACAGTAGGATGTAACAAGTTATCTTAGATATAATAATAAAGTTAAAACAGCAGAGCATCATTTATGGGCAGTTATAAATACCCACCAAGTCTTAAGAAACCGCATCAGAACATCTAGATTAATCCATGATAACTGTCGTAGTAATTTAAGCAATGTGTTTTACTCATTATCATTTTTTATTTATGGTTCTGAGATAAAATTTGACATTTGATTTTTACGATTCTATGTAGTATAACAGATCAAGTCTGTTACGATCCTATTTACGACTAGCCAGGTGTGGCTAGGGTGAAGGCGATATAAATATCCTGGTCCACGAGACAATAATTGAACTATTTCACAGCCTACAAGCTACGGGACAGGTCACGTGGTGTGCTTTCATCATGACAAAAGGAGAGAAGGAACTCATAAAGTGGAAAATAGAGTGTACTGTGTAGAGACGATAAATTATATATAGGCCTTATCAGGAACATTGATGCTGAAAGTCCTTCTGGTAACAACTGTCGAGAAATGACCAGAGCAATCACAGGAATTACTATCTCATGTTCGAGAAAACGAATATCAACCAGATGAAGGAGACAATTCACCGAGCTGAGGCAGAAAGGAACACGTGATATCGATTGTCGAGGGAGGAGCTCATTGGAGAGAAAACAGGAGTGATAATTATGGGCCTAACCGAAAGACATGGATGATTTAAGACCTTCAGTCACCAGGGTTAACGCTAAAAATACGCCTCATCAACAAACTATAATGAAGCACAATGCACATGCTTTTATACTGTGTAAACTCTGCAAAATAAATCTTGAACCAAAACAGTTTTGAGTTTGTTTGGTAAAATACCTAATTACTGCTTATTTTCAAGATATTTTATAAAAACATCAGTTTTCAATTGATAATTGTTTCAACCTTTAGTAACTGAAAATGGCTTGTCTCCATCATGTCTACTACAAAATTGAAAATATACAAGATTTATAAATTATACTTATAGTTTGCTATTTTGTAATCCGCTATCGCCAATATGATTATAACTCTGCCTTCATTGAAAGAGTGTGATTCTATCTCATTCGGAGAACAGTAATTGATAAAATTATGACCACCTTATTAAGTTATAAATAACAATATGCTAACTATCCTATATCCCATATCCTATATATGTGTTATATTAGGTAGGTTATGGAACTGCTGGAGCAACGAGTGCCGAAGGCACGAGTTCCGACAGCTGTTCCACAACTTACTTATGGTACAGCACATCAAGATAGATAAGGCTACAATTTGCGACCAAAAAAACCAAATTTGGACTTAATTAACAATTTTAAAAACACGTTTTTATATTTTCTTCCGTAACGCTGACCAATCAGAGACGATCCACATGGCCTATAGCATGATCAGTCTTGCGTGTCACGTGAAAGATTTCCTCTATTTCATTGGATGCTTACTTGTGGGCACGTGTAAAACCGGTTTTTAGTTACTCAATAAGTTGTTTGTATACTCCAAACAACTTATTGAGTAACGTATTTTTTGGCAGATCTTTAAATTGAGTTTAGAGGTGAGATTGAGAGGATGAGCGTGCAAGGACCCGGTCCGATTATATGGTTAATGTCAGTCTGCGACCCAAGACATTTATACTGGACCTCCAGGAATCATTATTTCAATAAAGCACCGCTATAATCTAATTTGATAATTGGAGAAGCAAGAAATAGACAAACCAACTCGGTCTTAACCTCAATGATTAGTTTGTGCAACTAACTATTGAGAGGAGATTGAGAGGATGAGCGTGCAAGGACCCGGTCCTATTTGATCTTTTTGTGCCAGGAATTTTCATTTATTTTGATGTCTCATCACTTATGTCTCGTGACTGCGCTCCTGTGTATGGTCCTCTTAATTATGTCAGTTTCCGTTACACCTGCATCAAACAGTGTGTTGATGGTTCTTGTTCTTAAGGAATGATTAGTCGCCTTAATTATTAGGAGTGAAAAAAGCGCTTTATTTAAATCCGCTTTACCAGGTAGTTTTGATAAATAAAACTTGAATATATTAGTTTATGAAAGTAGTTCCTTTCCGATCTACTTTAAAACGTTTAAAATGATACTTCATACTTGACCCGTGCTGTTCTCTAGAACTATAAGGATGTGAATCTAATCTCACATAAATATTCAGAAAAACCGGTTTTACTCTGAGACGCTTGTGAATGGCCATTGCAGCAGAGTACGCTGTGTCACGGGGGCATGTCTCGTGACTACGTCACTCGACTACCACGTGCTTGTGCCGTACCATAATGTTAAATAACACACTTGAAATTTAGACAGAAAACACGTAATCACGAGCTTACGAGAAGATCAGCAAGGTGGTTTATTTATAAATTAAAGTTATTGTTACTTTGTTAAACCAATGCTTGTTTTTATTAGTCACCTGGTAATTGTGATTGTGTTCCGTAGTAATCAGATGCTGTGTCGGAGGAAAGGAACACTATCTTTGCTACCTCCGTGTTCCAGATCCTGCTCCAACTTTTCCAACTACACGTTGATTGAGAGAGCACTGTGTTGAGCACCTCCACCTCGTTACAGTGTATCACTACTCTGACACCTGTAGTTTTGGTTAGAGTGATGCGCCACACCTTGTTAGTAGCAGAGGGGGGATTAACAGGGAAGTCAGGTCCCGGATGTGCAGGAGGCGAGCCCGTATTGTGGAGTAGAGGTGAAGAAGAGCTGGACATCTCCTGCATACTCATCCTCAGCAGAGTAGAATTCCACATTCACCTGATCGTCACTCCCCAACACACTATCAGTCCTAATTTCTAAAGGTGTCGACTCAAGATCCCACTCTATTTGCACGTCACGTTTGACTGGAAACTCACCTGTTAATTGTATGTTTAACTTGACTATAAAGGAATTGTAAGAATGTCGCCCATAGTTTATTCTCAGAATTTAAGGGCCCGACCATATATACTATGACTGTTGTCACCATGACTGTTGTCATGGTGCGGTCAGATGTAATGACCATAGGTACGTAGTGTGTTATTTATAGGGCGTGCCAAGGATACGTGACAACTCCTCAGGCACGTCGCGCGTGGCTTTTCAAAAGCCGTGCCTAGCCAAAAATCCGTGCCTGACGTGACTGCAGGCACACTGCACAGTCTATTCAGTACTCGTGCCAACTGTCATGGATAACGTGACGTCACGATTACCTAATAAGGTCTATATTTTGCGTGATATGGATATTGGCAGCGCAGAGTGCAAAGATAGTACTATAGTACAGCTACAGATCGTCTGAAAAATCGATCTACGGACACAAAAAGCTTCCAAAGGATTTATGACGTTATTAGGCTGACTAACTGTTCCAAAATTTTCCACATGTCTTATAATTTTCCACATGTCTTATAATTGCTACTTTTACCACTTTTTACCACCTTTCTTGTTTGTCAAATATCTTCAGCTATGAACATCGTAGAAGGTTACAAATTAATCGAGGGTGTTTATCTTATCGACGAGAAGAACTTTTGTCCGAAAAATGTTCACGTCAGACAATCAGATAATTTTATAATTACTAATTAGCTAATTATCTAATTAACAAAAATTATAAAAATGTTTACGTATTGGCTCGAGAATATTTCAAAAATTGTTCACTTAGACATTTTTTGAGACTTGACAAAATTTTGAAAATTTTAAAATGTAATTTTTTATAAGTTTTTTCGAAGCTCAGACCATTACATGGTTTGGTTGCCGAACCGCATCATACCAAATTGGTCCCCATTGGGAATCAAACCCCAGTCGTCCGCGTGAGAAGCAAATGTATTAAAACCACTAAACCACCCGGCCGACGTGACAGCACTCACTTTTTACTATTCTATCCCAATTGTCAAAGTATTTTTACTTGATAAACAGGAATTAAACATTAAACAGGAATTAAACAGGAATTAAACATGAAATGAACAAAGAGAACACTAACGAACTCGTCTTGGATATCTCAATCATTAGAGTTTAGCTAGAGCTCACTTTCTTTTCAGGAAAACTGTAATTTGAAAGGCCAATTATTAAATTAAATCACTTTGCACTATAATTTGACTTGATCCAATTATTTCGAATAAGTAATAACTAAAATATGCGATATTGAACTATGATTCGAAAAAAAATTGAAATAATTTAATTAAATTTGATGTACACGCCGATAAAGTTATGACAGTAAGTCGTTTTCATAAAAAGTGGGGAAATTTGGTTTTCATGAATACCAACTAGTAATTACTAATTTTGATACATCCCCAGTTGTGAGGTGAGGATGGTAGGAGGTTTCATTTTTATTATAATCGAAAAATTGGTTGCTACTTGGATAATAAGCAAATTAATCAATTAGCTTATTATTCAATCAGTGGTTGTACTTTTATAGCAATTGCTTAGTAATCGATTAGTAAGTCTTATCAGAAAAAGTATTTAAATAATAAATCAATTGTTAACTGAAACGTTTGGGACTTGGGTGGTAACGTTTAGCCTCCCGTGTCCATAATTATAATATGACTAGTAAAGATTTTACCATATAAAATGTTACCTTTGACTGATGACCACAGTAGGATCGTCAAAATGATGATCGTTATCGTCATGACGTTTTACCACTCACTTACAACTTGATAAAAATGAAACAACTAATATTTTATCATTATTTATAATTCATAATGTACTTATTATTTTATACACTAGTATAAGAATAATAAAAAGTTATGTTTAATCATTTATATCAGGGAAATCTTAACATATTTCTGGAAATTTTAGTATATTTTAAGTCGATTCTCCCGTTCAATTTCGGGTCTAAGATCGTCAAACTAGTGCAGAATCAAGCAAGTTAAGTAGTTTTTATATGTATTAAATTGAATGTGCTTTTTATAAAAAGTAAATATACTTAAAATGTGTGCATATTTTAATATTTCATCCCTAGCTTAGCAGACGTAAATAAAACAACGTAAATAAAACAACGTAAATAAAACAACGTAAATAAAACAACGTAAATAAAGCAACGTAAATAAAGCAACGTAAATAAAACAACGTAAATAAAACAACGTAAATAAAGCAACGTAAATAAAACAACGTAAATAAAACAACGTAAATAAAACAACGTAAATAAAACAACGTAAATAAAACAACGTATATAAAACAACTTAAATAAAATAACGTAAATAAAACAAAGTAAATAAAGAACGTAAATAAAAAACGTAAATAAAACAACGTCAATAAAACAATGTAAATATAGGAGGCCCAGCTGCAGAAAATCCTGTCTATGTCGCGTAAGATCATATTTCCAAGCCAAATGATCCATAAGGTGGAATTTGCAAAAACGATTTTATGGTTAATGTCAGTCTGCGACCCAAGACATATATACTGGACCTCCAGGGATCATTATTTCAATAAAGTACCGCTATAATCTAATTTGATAATTGGAGAAGCAAGAAATAGACAAACAAACTCGGTCTTAACCTCAATGATTAGTTTGTGCAAGGGCCGTCAATAATAATAATATAGTGGAAAATGAACATATATGCAACAATAAAAATGCAAATTCGATAAATCTTGGAATTTTTATTTAAAAATAAAGTTGCGGCGAATTACTCATTATAATTGTTAGGCTGCAGGCTTTGCTACCCTGTACTCATAGAATAATCCATAACCTTCTAGAATGTTCTGAAATATTTATTTTACTTTTAGTTCAGGAACGGTCATCAAAATGAGTTTGTAACAAGGTCGATTATATTTTGTTAAATTTCTAGCTTTCTCTCAGAAAATGAATTTGGCTTTCTATGGGAGGTAATTAGAATTATTACACTTTCTTCACATTCTCAGATTCAAATAAAAAGCATGCGAGATCACCTGGTCAAATGACCGGGAAACGGAGAACATGACGCTCTGGTGACGTTATAGTCACGTGACCTCCGACCCGATCAATTGGGTTCTGTCTTGGTCAGCTCCCTGTTACCTGACCTTAATTGAGGTGACGTACGACACTTCGTTAATTCTATAAATGTCTGGAAAGCTGCAAAATTTCACATGCCCAGCACTTAAGATTCTTAAGGAGTTGTGCAAGATGACAATTCATAGAAGCATAGAGGCCGCAGAATTATGAAGACTACCAGATCCTCGTGGAACTTCAGCGATCCATGATATCACGACAGGCCATACTATAATACAAGTACTACTGGCAGCTGCTGATTTTAGATTTTAGATTTTAGATTTCAGATTTCAAATTTCAGATTTCAGATTTCAGATTTCAAATTTCAGATTTCAGATTTCAGATTTCAGATTTCAGATTTTATAGATTTCAGATTTCAGATTTCAGATTTCAGATTTCAAATTTCAGATTTCAGATTTCAGATTTCAGATTTCAGATTTCAGATTTCAGATTTCAGATTTCAGATTTCAGATTTCAGATTTCAGATTTCAGATTTCAGATTTCAGATTTCAGATGGCTGCATCATGCATCAGGTATTTACTCTCATTGCAACTTCCCTTTCTTTTCTTCTTATTCAGGGATATTAGATAGTGATGTTATTTATTATATCGCAACATTATGGTTGTGTACTGACAGCTGATCAACTCACCTACTAATCAATCCAACTCTTTTTGTTATTCGTCACTGATTGGGTGACGTGATCTGCAGATCACCGTGAGACCCCGGATCTCATGGGACCTAGTGGTTGGTGTTAAGCACACGTGCAGCATTTAGAAGTTAATTGGCAGTAACAATTATATTCTTATAAATCAAGAGGCTTGCATATAATGAACATATTGACACGGGTGCAGAGTTGAGTCTGTACGGAACCTAGTAGTTTCAGATCCTTGTTTAACTTGCCGTACAGCAAGGTCATCCACTACTTTAGCCCGGCGAGGCACATAACTCCCTCTAATTATATTCTTATAGCTGCCAGATCAAAGTTAAATTTAAAATATCTCTGCACGAGACCGACTGGCGTGCGAATAGAATTTTTATTGATAACAGTAAATTATTCGCAAATAAACTCAGCAGACCCAGAATTCTCGCGCACTAAATTAGATTAGGAGGTGCACGATAAAAATAAACTTGCTCGGATTTTAAAAATTTTTGTACCAGTGTTTTCTAGAGACTGTGAGAATTTTCACAATACCAAATTTGTCATACCTTTTTGGAAAGATCAGTGAATTTCGCCTAAGTGCCATATTTGATGGTGCGCGGCTTTTGGAGCAAAAGTAGCTGTAAAAGTCGCGTAATTTAACCAAATTCGTCCAAATTTGACCATTTTTGTCGTATTATTCGTATTTATCTTCAGTTCCTTAAATGAGATCATTCTGAAAATTGGCAACGACCTTCCAATAGGGCTTTTACAACTGTCCGAAAAATTTGGTGGATATCGGAGTTGATATAGTGATCAAAATGGGGCAAAATACGCTGCTTTTAGCTGTAACATAATGTCTGTTGATTGGATATGCTTTAAATTTTTCGGACACTTTCCTTGTAAGTCTATGAGTAAGCTTACCAATTTTTGTTGCAATTGGAGGTCGGGAAGGATACTCAATATTTATTTGTTTGAAGAAAATTGTGCTGGCCGAAATTAGCGCTAAAAAACCATCCTACAGTCGGCACGCGCGGCTCACTGTCGATGGCGCACTACCTAATTAGATGAAGCATGAAGT